GGGATTTGGGATTTTTCCACATGGGATTTGGGTTTGAGTGGGATTTTAAAGATTTGTAGTTTGTGCGGCATGTATAGTAGGAGTAGGATGACCCACCTAGTATCATCACCAAGATTATGTACGTACATAATCAGTTTTTAAACGACATTAGGATTAATGATGATATTTGATTAATAATAATACACGTAATAATAATAACTATTTACTGTTACTCTCTTTAATATCGTAAAATTGAAAATCCAAAACTTTGTTCGTTTTGTCGAATCATAAAACCCATTATTGCATTTCAAAGTAATAAAAAAACATGCTTTGAGTGTTCAACCCATATAAATGAAAGTCGAAAAAGAAAACATGAAGAATAAATTTTAAATGATTATTTGTAAGCAAAAAGAAAATGCCATAAAATCCGAAGAGATTAAACATATACAGTCATACCTCTTTATAATCACCCCTATATAATCACATCATATAAAAACCTTTTTATAATCACATCTATATCTTCGCCCAATTACATAACAAAAGACCTCTATATAAGCACACCTCTTTACAAGAGCATTTTTTTAAAAAAGTTCCTATGGGTTCCAAAAATGTGATTATAAAGAGGTATGACTGTAGTTTATAGTTATGAAAAGCTTATGGATATTGAAAAAGAAAGCAATATGCATATGAATATTGAGATAGTTGTAGGTATTTCTCGAATGATTAATGAAATGATTAATGAAATGATTAATGAAATGATTAATGAAATGATTAAAGAAATGATTAAAGAAATGATTAATGAAATGATTAATGAAATGATTAATGAAATGATTAATAAATTAGAATTAAATAACGCAGAGGAAGTTTTTGCAAGTTCATTAGCACTTGAGATCGTAAAGAAAGATCTGCGAAAAAGGAGATGGTTATACCATAAAAAATATGAAAATAAACAAATCAAGACTACTTCATTTACCTATTGGTGTAATTGTCGCTGTGAATAGAGGTGGGATGAATAGAGGTGGGATTCTTTGATAGCTATTCACTAATACTCATGGTTTTTGGACATTCACGAGTAATATTCCGATTTTACGTGGATACACAAAATGATCAAATAGATTAGATTATGAAACTTCATGAATTAATATTTATTGAATATTTAAATTGAATATTCATTTTTAATCGCGGTTATTCACGGATCCTACCTATAGCTATGAACTAGAAAAAAGATCGAAAAAAAATTGATGATGAAAGTAAACAACGCAATAGAGAACTAAGAATCGAATACTATGACTGAGAGGGAATCATTATTGAGGAATCGAGTACTGAAGATAGTGAATCCAAATCTGAAATTTTAAGAAAGCACAAAAAAAAACTCTTCATGAGGTATAAAGATTTTTTATTATTATTATCACTATGTTTTCATGTTTATATAAATATAATTTATTATGTTTTTGGCTCTTGATTGTTTTGAAAAGTTTTAATAATCTTTCCAAACAAAAAAAATGGGTTCGAAGCATTGAATCGAACCTATCCAAAAAATGGAGGATGACATAAAAAATTTGAAATTGCATATAAATGTATTTAAATGTTTGAATTGAATGTAGAGTTTGTAATGGTAAAATTCTAATAAATAAATTGAATAATAAAAAATTATTTTTTTCAAAAATTTTGTGATTCTGTTATTATTGTGCTTAGATTAAATTTAAAAACTGATTTACGTACGTACGTACATGAATTTGGTGGTGATACTAGGTGCGTTAGTGCAAATCTGCGATTGCATAATTTGACGCAAATTTGGCAGAAATTTAGCACAGAAATTAGCATAGTTTATAATTTTTATTGGAAGACGCCTGATGAATATTAAAGTCACATTGATATCGGGAAGTTAGACGGTGAATTAACATAAATTACGAGCAGGTCAATCGGGGATTATAATTCACATGATTTGCGCAAACAGTCCTACGTACGTAGGAGATATGTGCATGTGATCTTAACAGTTAATTAGTTAATTTGTGATACCAATACGAATTACATAAATTTTACAGCAACCTTTAAATTTTATCTAAAAAATGGTTTCTCAAAATAATGATGACGCACCGACAAGATGGAGCAGAAGTAAAGCATCGAGACTACTAACAATTTACGATAACAATCTAATAATAAAGTATAATGGTATAAAATCAAACTATTTAAGATAATTTGGGATGAAGATAGTTTTAATAATAAATTACTCTGTTCTAATAGGTCTTGGTCGAAACGATGATGAAGCAGCAGCATTGATTACGAATAGCCCATTTAGATCTTCAATGAATGTTGTATATTTTGAAGTGTGTATAATAGAAGACGGATGTGATAATGGGCTTGAAGGGTATATAATTATGTTATTTCACGTTGCCATTTGTTATTATTTTATTCATTTTGGATTATTTCTTTTAGAAAAATAGGAATTGGATTTGGGACGGCAAAAACCTCAGTAAGACAACTACCGGGTAATTTTATAAAAATAAAAAGAAAATGAATGTTTAAATATTGGGGTGATTCAGAATTAAGGATCAGGTTTCTAATTTCGAATTAAATTAGTGATGTATTTATTTCGAAATCAGATTCATTCTGATTTGTAAGCTTATTTATATAATAACTTTTATGATCGTGAATTTTCTTTCGAGACTTGATATCTTTTCATATTTATTTTAAAATGGCTTATATTTCTGCTCGACAATTACATATATATTAAAAACATAAATGTACTTAGAAGTATTAACAGAAAAATATTCTAATAGTACTCATAAAAATATAGCTAATATTCTCGAAAAAAGAAATCAAACAATGAATTAGATCGATACGTATCTTAAAAAACTATCAAGTTTTATGATTTTTTCTCAAGTTCTCTTCTTTAGTGGTTTGTTTAAAAGTTTTTTTTAATAATTCAGAAATATAATATGTAATATTACTTAAGATTTTTAAACGATAATTTGTAGTTATTTATTAATTTATTACGACAATAACAACAAATCCTCAAAAAAAGGGTACACATTTTATTTCCGGATAACTTCTAATTTCAATATTTCAAAACAGAAATTTTCGAAATATGTTAATTATGAATCACCCATTATAATTAATAACATAAAACTTAAGTAATCTTGAAATTTAAATGTATAGGATGGTTTCCAGGATCTTATGGATATCACGGTGATGATGGAAATATATTCCACTCCCAATTTAACGGTATTACATACTCAACAACCTATGGAAAAGGAGACATAATAGGTTGTTGTATCGACTATCGGACTCGATCAGCCTTTTTTACAAAAAATGGCATAAATTTAGGTTATTATAAGATCAATTACTGCATAATACCATTTTATTGATCAAACTTAAGTTATAATGATAGAAATTTTCGTTTTTTTTTTTAGGCATTGCCTTCGAAAACCTTCCAATATGTAGATTTTATCCTATGGTAGGTTTACGGTATCCCGATCAAATGATTGAAGCAAACTTTGGAAAAAATCCATTTGCATTTGATATTAAATTATACAGATCACTTGCATGTCGGAAATAAAAAGAATATTTAAAAATAGTGCAAAAAGAATTATATAAATGAAACATGAAAAATTTTATATTATGTTACAAATGTTAATAGCTTTAAATTTTATTGCGATATCTGCTGATATTTTTATTAATACGTATAAAAAAATATAGTACATAGATAGAGAATATAAATCGCAACATGAAATCAACGTTACCGATTCGAATAATAATCGGCCAATATATATCTATCTATTCGAATATTCTCCAAATGACCAATATTCTGAATAAGATTTATTTATTCATGTTATTTGCTGAATAATTAATTATCAGAAGGGTATTCGTATTCTATGAATATTATTCGGATAAAGAATATGAAGCTTTTAAGAACACAATTATTCTTATTCCGATAGAATAAACTTTTCTTTGTCAATGCTGTGTAAGGGCACTCAATTACCTTTACACATATGTACTCATGTAATTTCTATTCTTAAACAAGTCAATAATTGGAAACAATGAACTGATATGTCTAATTCGAATAAAAGAACAGATACCGATACGTATCAGTAGTACACATGTAATATGCTTCACAAACGGTTTTTACAAGCACCAAAAAAAAAAAAAAGGTATAGTAATAAATAATTCTTTCATCTTATTTACTGAATATTTATCGTTATAAATTTTATTATTTAATATTATCATTATGAAAGATATTAATAATTTCTTCCAATTTATGATGTCAATGAATTGTTAAGTGTTTATAGAATTATTATGATGACAATAAAGGATAAAAGTCATAATTTGTATGCCAAGGTAACCTTTTTTGGTATCCCGTGACAATCAACCAGTGTTCGAAATTAAAATAATGATTAAATCATATATTACTGTATTACAGTATTAGTTATGATAAAATACGTAACTGTAATTACGTATTATTACGTATTTCTTGGATCAAACGGAAAAGAATTTTAACAATCTGTATGCAGTAGAATGCATATACGGAGAATTCTATAAATAAATAATGTAACCATCATTGAAATAAATGGTCAAATGACATAGTACAAGGAGCTATATACGTAGGTTTTTCAGGGATTTAATTCATATATATAGTCGTAACGTTACGTAATTAAGAATTCGCTACGCTACGCTAATTTTATTCATATATCAAAAAATAAAAGAATAAAATTATATGATACGTAATTACCCAAAGATTTTAACATCCAAAGATCGATTTTTAATCATGTGATTTTTACTGTCGTGAAATTGTATTGGGAGAGTACAAAGAAAAAATTTATGTGTCCAAAAATTTGGCTACTGAAAAAAATAAGTTTGGGTAAACGATCCATTCAACAGAGGTCCCTGACTGCATGATTCAACACTAAGTTTGTAAGATTATTATTAAACTTGCCGATCTAGTCAAATTTGACGATGACCCCTTTCCCCAAATTAAGTTAATTATATAATAAATATAGCTTACATTTTTCTTCGTATGTTTCTTAATTTCTTTTCCTCCTAATTAAATTCCTTCAAGTTGTGTATACTACGGCTATCCGTTTCTGAACCTCATAACGATGTTAACGATTAATAATACTAGAAAAAATTCTTTGATTCATTCACCTGGTGGGGAAGCTCTTCGACTTCTTGTTAATGGTTCTATTGACGCCGGTGTTAATAATACTGTTGCTCAGGCTACTTTTAATGAAAGAAAGTGGGTCTGGGTTGAGGATAAAAAAGCGGGTTATGTCGCAGGTTACATAACTAAGGATATGGGGGAACAAGTGGAAGTCCACTTGAATAATGATTCGGTAAATTTTATAATTCAATTCAATTCTTTTATTTTTTGAATAAATAGAATTTTTTTTTATTTAAAATTATCTAATTTTTTATAAAATAATAAATTATATTACTGTCTAAAGACACGAATAGTTAATATTAACGAAACTGATAAAATGAATCCACCTAAATTTGACAAGGTGGAAGATATGGCTGATCTAACGTATCTAAATGAGGCATCGGTTATTCATAATCTTCGATTAAGATATCTTTCTAACCTGATATATGTAAGTAACACATAAAAATTATCTTTATATAAAAAAATATCGTAAATTATATAAATTATATATATATATATATATGTAAATTATATATAAAATCGATATAAAATTATTTTATAAAAAATTTTTATTTGATAAATTATGTAAATTATGTAAAAAAAAAAACGAATGTTATAGACGTATTCCGGCCTCTTTTTGGTCGCTGTTAATCCTTATCAAAATTTTCCGATTTACACCGATGAAATAATTCGATATTACAAGAACAGGCGGCATCATGAAATGCCTCCTCATATATATGCTATCGCGGATTCCGCGTATCATGAAATGTTACAAGAACGTCGAAATCAGTCCATATTAATTACGTAAATATAAGTTTATTATATATGTTTTGTATTATTTTTATCATTTTATTATGAACTAATTTTTTTTTTTTTACGTATGTTTTTGCTTGTTTATTTTTAGTGGTGAATCCGGTGCTGGGAAAACGGAAAATACGAAAAGGGTTATACAATATATCGCCGCGATTGCTGGTGATAGTCCTAATACGAAAATACTTGGTAAACTCGAGTTACAAATTCTCCAAACAAATCCTATACTTGAAGCTTTTGGAAATGCATTAACTATTCGGAATAATAATTCTTCGCGATTTGTGAGTTTTAATTTTCTTTAAATTTTACTTATTTATTTGCTTGTCTATTTATTTTTTAAACATATATATATATATATTCAATTTTCAAGGGAAAATTCATTCGTATTGAATTTAATTTATCTGGCCAAATCGTGGGTGCTAATATTGAACGCTATCTGTTTGAAAAATCCCGTGTAACTTACCAAACATCGGAAGAACGTAATTTCCACATCTTTTATCAACTATTAAGAGGTGCTTCGCCTCAAATCAAAAGTATGTTTTCAAAAATTCTTTTATTTATTTACGATAAATATAATAATTAACCTTGCATTTTTTTGATTCATTATATTTATAAAAGGTAAATTACTTTTGAATGGATCTTTAAATGATTACAGATTCACCAAAAATTCATTAAAAGACATTGAAGGCGTCAATGATTCCATAGAATACCAAGCTCTTGTCGTGAGTACCCCCGTTTTGTGTTATTTTTTCATTTAAGCTTTTTTTTTTCTATCGATAATTAACAGAAATTAAAAATAATGAATATGAATTAATATTAATTAAATATAGGATGCTATGAATGTGATTGGTATTTCAGAAGATGAACAAGTTGATCTATTTCGCGTGATTGCTGCAGTTTTACATCTCGGCAATATTGAAATAGCTTCAAGTAGAAACGATCAAGCTCAAATTTATGAAAATTCTATTTGTGAAAATGTTTGTAATTTATTGGGTATACCTGTCGCAGAATTTATAAAAGGACTTCTTAATCCTCAAGTTAAAGCTGGTAGAGAATGGGTTATTCAAGCAAGAACTAAGGAGCAAGTTCTTTATTCTATTGAAGCACTTGCTAAATCATTATATGAACGAAGTTTTTTCGCTTTAGTTGATCGTATCAATAAGGCTATATACAGACCTAATAATAAATCATTTTTCATTGGTGTTTTGGATATTGCCGGATTTGAAATTTTCAAAGTAACTCTTTATATCTTTTTAATAAGTTCCTTTATAAAACTCTATAAATTTTATAAGTTTTATATTGATTTCTTTTTTTTTTTTTCCCTAAAGGTTAATAGTTTTGAACAATTTTGTATAAATTATACAAATGAAAAACTTCAACAATTCTTTAATCATCATATGTTTGTCTTGGAGCAAGAAGAATATAAACTTGAAGGCATCGAATGGAAGTTCATTGATTTTGGCTTGGATTTACAGCCAACAATTGATTTAATAGATAAAGCCAACGTAAGTTCTTATTATCTTTGTTATTTGTATTTAATAACGTCATTAATGTTATCCATTAACGTTATCCATTAATGTTTAATGTTATCATTAATGTTATCCGTTAATGTTATCACTAATGTTAAAATTTTAATCAATCTTTTAATAATAATTTAGCCCATTGGTATTCTATCTTGTCTTGATGAAGAATGTGTAATGCCTAAAGCTACTGACAAAACTTTTGTCGAGAAATTACATAGCTTTTGGAAGGATAAATCTTCAAAATATCAAGTTCCTCGTTTTCAAGAAGGTTTCATTTTACAACATTATGCCGCCAAAGTAGAATACAAAACTTCAGGATGGCTTGATAAAAATAAAGATCCTCTTAATGAAAATATTACTAAATTATTGGCTCGTTCTTCTAATCAATATATTTCATCACTTTTTTCCGATTATCTTGGAGATATAACTGATAATGTTAAAAAGAATAGAGTTAAACGTGGTGTTTTCAGAACAGTTGGTCGTCATCATAAAGAACAATTACATTCTTTAATGCAACAACTTTATTCAACACATCCTCATTTTGTACGTTGTATAGTTCCTAATGAAGAAAAATGTCCTGGAAAGATTGATATTCCTCTAGTTCTTGATCAATTACGTTGTAATGGTGTTTTAGAAGGAATTCGTATATGTCGTGCTGGTTTCCCTAATCGATTATCTTTTGATGAATTTTGTCGTAGATATGAAATTTTAACTTCTGGAATTATTCCTAAAGGACCTATAAGTAGTAGAGATGCTGCAGAGAAACTTTTGGATGCTTTTAAATTGGACAATTCTCAATATCGTATAGGGACAAGTAAAATCTTCTTTCGTTCTGGTGTGGTATGTTTATTATTTTCTTTATTATGCTTTAAATTTATTACTGTATTATTTTATTTTATTTTATTTATTTATCGCTTTTTTATTATTTTTTTTGTATACAGTTGGCAGAATTAGAAGAAATTCGGGATACAAAGCTTTTTCAACTATTCGCCGATTTTCAAGCACACTGTAGGGGTTGGCTTGCAAGAAAAGCACATGTAAAACGTAACGAAAGACTTCGTGCTGCTCTTATTATTCAAAAAAATATTAGAGCAATTAATGCATTAAAAGCGAACCCTTGGTGGAAACTTTTTTTGAAAGTCAGACCAACATTAAATTGTACTAAAGTTGAAGAATTACAACGACAAATTCGACTTAGGGATGATAAAATACGTGAATTAGAAGAAAAATTATTTCAAGAATCTGAAGCAAAGAAAAAATTGGAAAATTTAAATTCTCAACTTGAAAATGAAAAAACAATTCTTGAAGAATCATTACAAAATGAACGTTCTTTGGTCATTGATAAAGAAGAAATTTTGAAACAAACACGTCAAAGAGAGATAGATCTTGAAGATGAAGTTAAAGAATTAAATGATGAACTTAATGAACTTGCAGGAAAATGTGAACAAATTTCACAATCAAAGAAATTTTTGGAAAATCATATGCAAGAAAATGGTCTTTTGAATACACAAACTCAATTCATAGCTCAACAAGATATAAAAAATAATCAACTTATTAAAATTGAACATTCTAATGGTTTTGTTAACCAAATTCATATATTACTTAATCAAATTAATTTATTAATCAATCAAGTTCATATATTACTCAATCAAGTTCGTATATATGTCTAATCAAATTTCGTAGGTTTGTAGAATACTATTGTTATTCTATTATATATATAGTATATAGTATATAGTATCGTAATTGTAAAAAAAAGATTTGTAATTTTAGGTTATGTGTTTTGTTTGTTTTTTTTTTTGATTGATATGAAATTGTATCTAGATATCGATATTTGTTGTTATTGAACCTTTTCATTCTTATCGGTATTAGTAATATAGTTTAATTATTATGTAATATAAATCTTTGTATTTTTAATAATAAAGGAATAATTATCAAACTATATCTATATATCTGTCTATCTATTTTATCTATCTATTTCTATATATATCTGATATAACGATAACTTTTATAAATTCTGAATTTATTTACATAATGACCATGAATGAAATTATAAAAATGAATAACGTGAATGAAGATATTGACTCAAAATAAAAAGTTAAAATTGATCTCATGAGTAAGAATGAATGATGTGAACGAATACTTTTTTATCTTTAAAAGGACTAGAAAAGGAATATGTGTATTTATAAAATCTATCAGATGACTATATAGTGACAACGAACTCTCTCTTATCATTTATAATTTGTATTATTAATATGAAAGTTGAGACCAATAAATATATATATCGGGATAAAAAAAATATCCCAATTTTAGGAATGCATTTCATATGACCCATCCAAAAAATCACTTAATTCCAACCAATTGGACAAATAGAAATTTCTCAAAAAAAAGTAAATTTTGAAGGTCTTATACGTACAGAACTATAATGCTATGGTTTTATTTTTGCGGAATTTCAAAAATGCTCATTGAAGAGTTACAATTTTGGATTATTTGTATCGTATCACGATTATTGTTAAAACGATAGCTGATAGCGATAACGTGTGTACGTACGTAATCGGAATTATATAAATTATACACAAACAGAATATATTGTTGTACTAAAACAGGCCAATACCACAGGTAACTACCGCCGCCGAAGAAAAGAATGTGATCTGATATCACATTCCAAGAGCAGGTTATAGCTCTTCCAGGAAACTGGATAAGAATTCCAGGTTATCTGAATTGAAGTTATGTAAGGTTGTATTGAAGTATTGAGAATATACTATTAAGTGGAATACTGTATTGGAGTTTTTGAAATCTTTATAAGAGCAAAAATCTGGTGAAGCAGGATCTTGAACATCTAGTATAGAGTTATGCTTTGTAAATTTATATAATTACCCTTTATTATATTTATAAAAAATAAATAATTTATTTATATAGCCTTAACAAATTATATATAAAAAAAAAATTAAATTTTATTATAGCGCTACCTTATATGTAATATAAACATTAAACTAAACATAAACATTTTTTACAGGGGTCCCAAATTTCCGGGTCGTAATGGTCGGGGTTAGTGTTAGTGTTAGGGTTAGCAGGTGCTATAGTAAAATTATCAGCTGGGCATTTTTTGCTTAATGAACTTCAATAGTAAAATTCTTGGGCAAAATCGGTCAATTCCGGCCCATCCGACCCAGGTTTCCGATGCATCCGACCCGGAATTTTTGGGATCTCCCTGTATGAGTTTTGCAGAACCCCAGAATGTCCTAAACTAAATTCGGTCAATCATTGACATCATAATAAGATCATGCGACCAGAAATAAAATTTTTCGACACATTCTAAAAATGGTTTTTCGGCATGTTTTTTTTCGTGATGAAATGATTCGAGTAATACTTACACATTTTCTCTACAAAATGTTCCTAATGAAAAGGAGTGATGGGGATAAATAAAAATATTTTAGTGTTTATTAACACAAATTATTTTTTTGAACCAAAAAAAATGCCCCAAGAAATTCAATTTGTTCGTATCGAAGGAGAGACATCACAAGAGTTGGGAAAAGATTTGAGGAGTTCTGTGTTATGTTGTTGAGAGAATTGGAAGTGTATGGTGCTGTTATTACACATGTCGGGTAAGTTTTCTTATTGAATAATATATCGAGTCATTATGTATCTAAAGTTACGCTATCACATCGATGTAAATTATCTGAGAATCGAAAGCACGTCGTGGCCACTGTTTCGGCAGTGAACGTTCTTCTCAGTTATCGATGTCCGGAAATGGAGCAGCCCTGCTGGATTTAATGATGAATAGGATACATGCTGGCCCCAGCTATATATGACGATAAAATATATATTCATTAATTTATTAATTTATAAGAAAAGTGGAAGTCTATGTGCTTAAAAACATATCTCAAACAAAAAAACATGATGACTTTGCAAAATTACTCAATCATGATAAAATTAACTATAAGACGTTTTCGCAGAATAGGAAGGACGATGAATGGTGCGTTACTAGGACGAGATATTATTGTTGAAATTTTTGGGATAAAGATTGTTGTTCAGTGCAAAGCGTGGTATTCAAAAGATATAGGTACAACAATTATCAATGTAACAATTAACAAATAATTTGTTTATAGGTCATGATAAAGTTGACGAGTTCAGAACGGTAGTGAGAGACGGGAAGTATGCATTTGGAGTTATTGTAGGAGCTACGGAAGAAAATTTTGCTATAGGAGCACACAAATCAGCTAAAAAGTCAGAAGGCGATGACGAAGTTATTATTACGGTGTATAATAGAATGTGTCAAGATATAGAGTGGTTTATCGCTGGTCGATTTCACGAACAAATTAATGCATTAGAAGATAGAAATAAATAGATTATAATTTAATGTATTTTTCGTTCTCTATTACTTTTGTAATTTTATATCATGTATTATTATTATTTTATTTATTTTTATTTTGTATTTAGATTTTTACTTTTATTCTCTTTCTTTTCTTTTTCTATTAATAAAGATTTTTTCGCTAATTCATGATTAAAATACTGTATCGATAAAATTGCATAAAGATAATTGCTCTTTTCGCATCGATCAAAAGAAGCTATTAATTGATTTGCAGGCTTAGATAAACAAATTTAAATATAGAAGAGCCTTCATTGGTAGATCATGGTTTAACATTAATAAAAATCCAAATAGCAGTATAATGCTTGTTCACACAATCGCGTAAAAAATAAAAAATGGCGAGGCCAACAGACCTCCCTTCTTTATTTAATAAAATTTTTATTGCCATGCAAAAATACCGCTCCTGATGGATCGTCAGTACTGTTCTTAATAGGATGAAAAAAATAAATCGATTTACGTACCGATCCTGATATGGTTCTAAACTTTCGAAATATAAGGCTATTACATCAAAATTTGGTAGTCCACTATTACTACCCAACCAGATTATAAAATCAAGGCATAACATAAAATTCAAAAAAAAAAATCGGAAATTAGTATTCAATCAAGCGTTCCGATCCTATCTTTGACAGACCATCCGGATTCTTTAAATCCGGATTGAATCCGTGTCAGATTAGATATAAAGCTAGTTTTGAGAACACCCTTATGTCCGTTATTTAAATTCTTTGACAAATCCGAGTAAAAATCTCTGATATGGATATTTAAATTTATCTAGATTTAAGGATCAATTCAGATGGTCGGATTAAGGATCGGAACACTAATTCAATCATTTAACAACCCACCGAATTCGTGCGAAATAACGTCTATGGTCATTATTTTTAGGACACGGAATTCAAAAAGAGCCAATATTTAATTTAGCCGAACACAACCATACTTTTAATGTTAATGATTCTTTTGCAAATTAATTATTAGCTCTCTTCAAATTACTTGTCTCGAATAATGTCTGGAAGTTTTCGCGTAGATACGGTACTGCATTATTTTAAGATTAATATTTAGGAAAGTTGAAATCAGCGTTGTGAATCAGTCACGGGTCGTGACTTAGTATTCGCATTATGACTAAGCATCGCCATGAGAATTAATTTCGGAGTTCCTTAAGATGAGGATTTGACAGATTGGGCACCGAGAAATCCCGAAAATGTAAATTTCGAACGTGTTTGCCGGGAAGTTACGGAATTTTGTACATTTGTATTTTTATAATCGCATCAAGAATCAACTAAAATTACCGCGGTAAAAAAAATAGCTCTCTAGAAGTTATGGAAGTGGAAGTTATAGACGCGAAACGAGAAAGAGAAGTTGCTGTCAAAGCCGTACTTGAAAGTGAATGTACCAATTATCTTTATGAGTACCTAATACTGAGAAAAGAACAAGCTTCTTTCATAGAAAATTCTCAAACTGAGCATGCTAAATATTTTGCTGAGCTAACTAGACAACAAAATTTTAATGAACGCGCACAGCTCGCTTTAAATGCGTTCGAGGTAAACGTATTTTTTCTTTGCTTCTTTGCTTTACAACACTCTGACTTGACTTTACCAGCAAGAACATCCGCTGGTTTGTTCTTGTGATGATCCGCTGGTTTCGGTAATGTCAAGAAGACTTTGACAAGCAAAAGTATCCGCTGGTTTACTTTTGTGATGATCCGCTGGTTTCGTCAAAGTTTGTTTCCTTCATCTAAGCAAGAGCATCCGCTGGTTTGCTCTTGTGATAATCCGCTGGTTTTGGATGAAGTTGGGTGTAATCAATGAAAATCAGGCGTTTTTATTGCATAAATGGTTATTTCTGTATTGACTCGGCTTCTTTTTAAAGTTAGAAAGAAAGTCGCCGGCTGTATCCCGCCTCTGGAGTGAAGTAGCTGAAAAAGTAAACTGAAGAAAAGAGGAGGAAAATGCAGTTCGATCTGCCTCGTTGGGGCACCTCAGCATATTCGGGCAAACGGTAAAGAGTTGGAGTAGGGCATTTATAAGAGGGTCTTGATTTTATTTGCTTATTCTGGCACTTTTTCTGGAAACAGCTTACTCAATTTGCAAATAAACAGAAGGCTGCAAATAAGCAGGAGGCTGCAAATGAACAGGAGGCTGCAAATAAACAGGAGGCATCGACTAAAGATATGAATTTATCTCATAAGCGAGGAATTGAGGTTATGATTAATGACGAAAAAAATGGTTCATATAAAAAGGTAAAAAAAAATTTAAGCGTTAAAATTATGAGAACATGCAAATTCATGTATATTTCTATATAGGAAAAAGTAAACGCCAAGAATGATGCTGATAATAATGAGAATTTGCCATCAACATTTCGAAGGAATTGAATCGTATCGTGAACCAACAGTTATGTTTTGTATCAAATATCATTTTTATCTCCTGTGTCTCACAGTTTGCTTATGTTTTTAGTGGGAAGTTGATAATATCAATGTAACCAACCGATTTCGGCAATATCAGAAAGCTGTTCTCGCGAAGGCACAAAAATGGGGTTTAAAATATTCGAGCATCTATGAACTTCTGTAAGTGTTACCTACATTATTGTACCATTTACATTAGATATATTAAGCACTTTTTTTATTGTATTTAGAGCTCTAGCATCAATTATGGTGCTCTGTTGGCCATGTCCATATTCCAATTTCACAAACCAAGAATGGAAAAAAATTACAACAACCAATCCTTACACTTTACAAGAATCGCCGTTACCACCGGAAATTTCATTATCTCTTCGAGAAGCAGCTAGTAGACGTTTGATTAATGGAGATGTTTTCATGAATAGCAGTGAATCAGAATTAAGTAGAATTGTTGCACTAACGTTCAACCTGTAAGTTTGCTTGGCATACATAATGCATGTTATTCGCGAAATCGTAGCTTACATAAATATAATACAGGTATTATGGTGCTCCATCAAAGTTGTCGGAAGAGGAACATTGCGATATGTTCATATATCCAATTGCTCGTTCATTTCGCAGAAATGATAAAGAATATGAACTCAAATTAAATCGGGCTAATGTAGGATCAAAGACAAGACAAGACCTGATCTTTCCTGCACAGTAAATGACGTACCAATTCTAAACTCCGAGTTTAAACCATTGGGTTATACTCCATTGCAGGAGAAGATGGACCGATTGAAAGTTCAACTAAAGGCTCGGAAATCGATTAATCAACAATTACAAAGAAAAGGAGGTCCAGGCGAGGCAGTTATGTTTTTAAGCATTGGTATATATGAGTGACGGGATGTGAAAACCTGAAAACCTAAAATAGATTATGAATTTAATAATAATCTATTTTTAGGTTTTCAGGTTTTCACATCCTGTCACTCATATATACTTTCAATTAATTACAAGAAATTGGAATTTTTTATAATTTGCTAACTTATACTTTTACAATGATAAGGTAACTCAATGGAATCGTTTTTTATGGATCTGAAATGTGATGGCTATACCGCTCCTGGTGGTTGACAAGTCTACAATTCCATTAGCAGAGTTTGCGATTAGTCATTTGATGGCTTTGGAAGTATGATGTTTTTTATATAAGCTCATGAGATATTTGTTTACGAATTTCACAATCTTTACTTATTTTGTAATGAGCAGGAACGCGTTGAAAAAATTGCCAAAGATTTTAAATACCGAAGTAGTCAATTTACGCCCCAGCACAACTGTCTTACATACGCGAATTTCCTGATACACCGCAAGTAAAAATGTTGCTCAAATAGAATGTATTATACCGATTTTCCGTTTGCACCTGAATTAGTTCAACAATATGAACATTGATTATCTCATATAAAGGTTATATGTAGTTAATTTTATTATTACTATACATTTAAATACGTTATTGTGTATGTAAAAGTAATCATATGAAATAGAATCATTTTTTTACCCATAAATAGTCTGAGATCAAATGTTAAAAACTTCTGATTGAAATAAAAATCACATGCGTTATAATTTTTTTTTTTTTTTATTAAGAGAGGTTTTTCCTCTAATTCTTTTATTTCGAAAAATATAAAAGTATAATATATAATACATTAATCTTATTATGGATTAAAGGTAAGAGCTATTACTTTTAACCTAATCTTTGCTAGACCTCTAGTCTTTGTATATGTGCGGTGCAGAATCACTGACGATCGTGATGATTGGCGGCCAGAAAAATGGTCATCCGAATCTATTTTGAATTTTTTATTTTAATAACAGCAACCACTTAGTAGAATTCGATAAATTTTTTTTTTTATTTTAATTCTACGAATTGTAGAACCAAAATAAAAAAATTTCATTAAATTTTATTAGGTGGTTGCTGATATATCTTCGTTCAAAGTTTTAATCATCTAATTAAATTGAAGCTACGCCAAAGCTATTTAATGTTGAACGAAGATATCTCAACAGCCACCTAATAGAATTCGATGAATTTTTTTTTATTTTAATCTTACGAATTCTCAGAATCAAAATAAAAAAAATTACATCAAATTTTATTAGGTGGTTGCTGAGATATCTTCGTTTAAAGTTTTAAACGTTTAAATTCGAACGAAAATATCTCAGCAACCACCTAGTAGAATTCGATAAATATTTTTTTATTTTAATTCTAAGAATTCTCAAAATCAAATTAAAAATTACATCAAATTTTATTAGGTGGTTACTAAGTTTTAGCCGCCTAACTAAATTGAAGCTGCGCCGAGACTATTTAAATTTTGAACGAAGATATCTCAGCAACCACCTAGTAGAATTCGATGAAATATTTTTTTATTTCATTTCTACAAATTTTCAGAATCAAATCAAAAAATTCCATTTGAATTTTATTAGGTGGTTGCTGAGATATTTTCGTTTAGCATTTAAATAGTTTCGGCGCAGCTTCAATTTAGTTAGACGGTTAAAACTTTGAGCGAAGTTATCTCGGCAATCACTTAGTAGAATTCGATGAAATTTTTTTTTTTTAATTGTAAGAATTCTCAGAAGCAAAGGAAAAAAATTACTTTGAATTTTATTAGGTGGTTACTGAGATATCTTCGTTTAAAGTTTTAACCGTCTAACTAAATTGAAGCTGCGCCGAACTATTTAACGAAGATATCTCACAACCACTTAGTAGAATTCGATGAACTTTTATTTCTACAAATTCTCAGAATCGAATTAAAAAAAAGTCTATTGAATTTTATTAGGTGATTTCTGAGATAACTTCGTTCAAAGTTTTAACCATCTAACTAAATTGAAGCTGCGCAGAAACTATTTAAATTTTGAACGAAGATATCTCAGCAACCACTTAGTAGAATTTGATGAAATTTTTTTTTTTTAATTGTAAGAATTCTCAGAAGCAAAGGAAAAAAATTCCTTTAAATTTTATTAGGTGGTTGCTGAGATATCTTCGTTCAAAGTTTTGACTAACTAAATTGAAGCTGCGCCGAACTATTTTAAATTTTGAACGAAGATATCTCAGCAACCACTTAGTAGAATTCGATGAAAATTTTTTTATTTTATTTCTACGAATTCTCAGGATCAAATTTAAAAAATTTACATTGAATTTTATTAGGTGATTTCTGAGATATCTTCGTTTAAATCGAAGCTGCGCCGAAACTATTTAAATTTTGAACGAAGATATCTTAGTAGAATTCGATGAAATTTTTTTATTTTAATTCTAAGAATTCGTAGAATTAAAATAAAAAATCACCTGATTCTATTAGTGGCTGCTGAGATATCTTCATTCAATTTTAACCGCCTACAAAATAGAATTTTATGACTCAATAATGCCTTCATAAATGCAAGAATTTAAATACTCGCAGGTAAGCATTTATTATTACTATTTTTTCTTTATTTACAATTTTGATTCATAAACTGCTTCGCTCATTTTGCTAATTGCTCTATCAAATTCTTCCACTATCACCTTGACCTTACAGAACCAATTCATCAACAAACCTTCTTTATCCACTATTCTGGCCCAGAGGGCGCTTCCCCACCTACCATATACATGGGTGCCTAAATTGCCCATCTTAATAAAAAAGTAATTACGGCATTTAGGCAGCCGAAATTATTCTTATA